CACGTTTCTAGTCAGAGTGCATGATGTCGACAAGTTCGGAGATAAGTCCAGCTGAGTTGGAAAAACTATTGCTAGAAGAATCCACTACAGCTGAGCAGCTGGCATCAATGAAGTCGACATTGGAACGCCTCATAACTAAAGTGGATAATCTTGCGAACAAGGACTCGCAACAGGTGCGATATTCAGCAGATATTATCGCAGAGAAGTTGGCGAGCATACGCGAGATTCCTGCACAAGATGCTGCAAGGGAGTCTCCAGGATCCAGCAAACTGGCGGAAGAGCTTGTATCCTCGAGAATCAATGAAGAATGTGTTCTCATAGAAGAGGAACTGAGGCACCTGAACAAGCGGTAGGTCGAACCGCAGCTCTTAAAAGCTTGGTGTATGAGACACTGGGAGTGATTCTTAATGAAAGAACGCTAGAGTTTACAGCTAGCTGTAGAGGCTAACAACTAACACGAACAGCTGAGTGCAGATGAATTCGGTGATGTCGAATACCATTCAGAATTCGATCCAATAGCTGCAGCGCAAGGTAAATGTTTTCGAGAGATTACCCTCGACAGGAAACCTGTATGCGAAAAGATTGCAGCCAGAAGGGGCGATCGAATTGAAGCCGAGGACCAAGGATACCAATGGATATCCAAGGATGCTTCGAAGCCGACTTTACAATTTTCGATCGCCATCATCATCCTGTATCCGGACGAGGAAATTGTTACGTCACAGAAGCAACCGATCTCCTAGGATTGGAATGGTGTATTCAGATGCCAGACTACCGTCAGCTCAAGGATCAGTATAACTGTAGACAAGCAGCTGTAGCACTCGAAACAACCGTCACGAGCTTGTTGCTCACTTGAGAACACGATTCGCAAATGTATTCGCTCCAGGACTCGGACGCTGTACTAAAACAAAAGCAAAAGCTATTCCTGAAGCCGGACGCCCAACCAGTTTACCGTCAGAAGCGACCCGTACCGTTCGCCTCTCAGCCAGCCGTCAATGCTGAAATCGATCGTCTACTTCAAGAAGGAGTCCTCACAGCCGTCGATCATTCAAACTGGGCAGCACCGATTGTAGTCGTGAAGAAAAGCAATGGCAGTATTCGACTATGTGCGGATTTTTCTACTGGACTGAATGACGCACTGTCACTCCATCAACACCCATTGCCAACAACAGAAGATGTCTTCACAAAACTCAACGGTGGTCAGCTATTTCTCACAGATCGACCTGGCGGACGCCTATCTACAAATAGAAGTGGAAGAAGATTCGAAGGAGCTACTCACTATCAACACGCACCGTGGTCTATTTCGCTACAACCGCCTGCCGTTTGGAGTGAAGTCAGCTCCAGGTATATTTCAACAAATTATCGATGCTAGAACAGGACTTGACGGAGTAGCAGCTTACATCGACATTATTGTAACTGACCGAACTAAAATCGAACATCGAAATATGGAAGCTCTACTACGCCGAATGAACAGTATGGTTTTCGTGTGCGTGAAGAAAAATGTCACTTCATGATGTCGGAAATCCGATATCTCGGAAACATCATCGACGCAAATGGTCGACGCCCGGATCCTGACAAGATTCAAGCCATCACAAAAATGCCACGACCGAACGACGTCGCACAACTCCGTTCCTTCCTTGGAATGCTGAATTACTACGGAACTTTCATCCCTGAAATGCGTCAACTTCGTGCTCCGCTCGACGCACTACTAAAGAAGAATGTGCCGTTCAAGTGGTCCCAGGATTGTCAGAACGCTTTCGAAAAAGCCAAAGATATCCTGGCCTCTCCGCTCTTGCTCACACACTACGACCCAAAGTTGGATCTCATTGTCGCAGCCGACGCTTCCGACTACGGCATTGGAGCCGTAATTCTGCACCGCTTCGCAGATGGTTCAGAGAAGGCAATCAGCCACTCACGGAAACAGAGAAAAAGTATGGTTAAATCGAGAAAGGACTTGCCACTAGTCTACGCAGTACGCAAGTTTCATCGATATTTGCTTGGACGCAAATTTACCCTTCTTACAGACCATAACCACTAGTCTCTATTTTTGGAAGCAAGAAATTCCTGCCAGCATATACAGCAAATCGCCTCCTACGTTGGTCATTGATACTTCGCGGATACGACTTAAGGATTGAGTACGAGAACTTCGGACAAGCCGATACTCTTTCACGTCTAATCGCTGACCAAACGGAGCAAGCTGAAGACATCGTCATTGCAAACGCTTCAAATGATGCCGACTACGAATGTAAGGCTGTAGAAGCATAGGTTCCTATTGACATGAAGCAGATAGCAGAAGAAACCCTCATGAATGAAATTTCGAGACAAGTGGCCAAAGAAGCCTCAAATGTCACATCGCACTTCGCCAGTCCCTTCCGCTTTTCTTCGGACCAAGTATCATAATCCCGTCGAAATTTCATGATCGCGTACTAGCACTACTACACGATGGACATCCTGGTATGTCAAGAATGAAGAGTCTTGCTCGCTGTTATGTCTATTGGACAAACATTACCAAAGATATCGAAAACTTCGTACGAAACTGCTCCAACTGTCAAGAAGTTGCCAAAACACCAGTCAAAACAGAACTCTTCTCATGGCCTAAAGGAAGAGAAACCATGGTCACGTATCCATGTGGATTTTGCAGGACCGGTGAATGGAAAGATGTTTCTCATTATTGTGGATGCTTACTCGAAATGGCCAGAAGTCATTGAGATGTCTTCAACCACAAGCAAAGCTACTATACGACAACTCAACAGATTATTCGCACAGTTCGGATTTCCAGAAACCCTAGTCTCAGACAATGGAAGCCAATTCACTTCGTTGGAGTTCACAGAATTCTGCAAGAAAAATGGCATCACCCATATTCGCTCTCCACCCTACCACCCACAGTCGAACGGACAAGTTGAAAGATTCGTTGATACATTCAAGCGTGGATTGGAGAAGCTGAAGAGCTCTGAAGGGATAGCAGAAGCTGTGCAGAAGTTCTTGATGACCTACCGCATCACTCCCTGTGAATCCGCCCGAAAGGACTGTCACCGGCTGAAAATTTTCTGGGACATCAAATCCGAACGCCTCTCACACAGCTCACAATGCCTCGACACAAAAATGGAGATCGAAACAGGAACATGGAAAAACAATTCAACAGACACCATGGCGCCCGTTCGAAATCGTTTGAGCCCGAAGATACTTTGGATCAAGAACTTCAAAGGAGGCAGAAGCAAATGGATACCCGGAAAAGTTCTCTTCACGTCACGGACACACACTTTATGATGTCCTTGTGGATGGAACAGTCGAGAGACGCCACGCAAATCAAATGCGTCTTCGCACATCTACCCTACCAGACCAAAGGTTTCCGGATCTCCTCGATTTACCGGATGAACCACTTCAAACTACAAAGCCGACGAGGCAAAATTCAACGATTACACCTGCACTCGAGGAAGATTTCTCCGAAAATACAGAACACGACGCGTCAAACTCAGCCAAAACGCCAAATGGAGTAACTTCATCAGACGGACGGACGAGCACAACGTATTCGACGACCACGGAATCGACTGCAGATCACGCCTATGAAGGAGTCCTACCTGTAAACGATTGAACCCTAGTGATCAGATGAATGTAGTCGCGTATTGTTTCACTCCCACCATTACATCTTAGGAGGGAGGTGTTGTAGATGGCCGGTTATTCTTCATAGGACAGTTACCATAGACTTGGCCAGTGATAAACTGTTATTGTGTTTACACTAGATTTGTTATTGAGTGATAGGTCGGCTATGGCCTATAAAAGTAGTTGGTGTTCTAATTGTTCGTCCGTGCTCAATAAAGCACTTAGTGCAGAGCTGTTACACATCCGGTAAGGGGGCATGTGGTGCGACAGTTCATATTGCGCGAAGTTATCCGCTTTTTTGCAGGAGAGGAAGCTCCGGGGTGGGTGTGAGTAAAGTCCAGGCGGAGTGGTCCAAGCACCCGGGGACTCCTTCCACATGCACACAAGTATTACACACAGGGTCGTATCAAATCGCTCATGAAGGGGGAGGGGGTTGTAAAAAAATTCCAGAAAGTACCAACGATAGGGTGAACCCTGCCCCCAACCCATCTAGCACCCGAAATTGCTTCTGCTGGCACCGTTGCTGAAAAAATACGAAAACATGGTAATCACTCACGGTTAAGTAACAGGAAAAAGATCAATTCCCATCTTTGCAAACCAGACGGCTTCCCCTAGAGGCTTTTTTTCATCCCGGTAGCATTACCACTTGCTTAGTATGCTCTTGGTGATCACAAGAAGAAGCCTTGTTCTGTATCACGGGCACGCCTGTGAATTGACGCATCTCATCTACTTGAGCCTAGTAGATGTGGTGGCTCCGGCTGGCAGTACCCCGTTCGTTTCAAATGTTGCCCTCCGTAAAAACTTCAAATTTGACCAAAATGTTTTCTTCAACGTCGCAATCTTTCGTAGAAAAACAGTTGTGGCATGAGTGAACCATGACTTTTGAGAGCACCCTAGCCCATCAACTCCATTAGAACTGTGCGCATTGAGTTCCTTCCCGCCTAGCACCGAACTGTTTTGAAGAATAATCGGGACTTGATCGTGATCAGAATAGAAACCGTTTCTTTGAATCAATGGGATGGAATTTATGAGTAGTTGAATGCAGCAACAACCCCGCAAATAATGAGGGAAATATATGATGGATGAAATAAAGGGCCATGGGATCCAACCCTTGCGAAACCTTATGCAACTGCCAACTAGGGGTAGGAAATTACGGAATGAAAAAAAATGCAAATTCATACTCTAGGAGATTATAAAATCTGGGCTAGTTCGGAGCCTAATCGAAGCTAACATTGCTACTGTAGCAACATCAGTACAATTTCTGTTACAACATGTAATTCAAGTACTATATTTAAGGTGATTCAGTATGTGAGCACCCAGCTACATCAAAACAGTATGTTTTTCAAAGTACCTCGTCAAGGGTTTAATGTTTAGGTTGCGATAGTCACCGCAAGATAATCGAGTTAAAGCAACGAACAGACATCGAAAAAAATCTTCGAACCTATGAGAAGGCATCGAATCGGGGATAAATCGCCTAGCATCCACGCAAGGGTGTTGTCGTCCAAAAGAAGTAAGACAGAAGGGGTCAACTAAAAAGGAGAAAATAGTTTCGGCAAAAGACCATCAAAGTAATCAGGCCGCGTTCATAAATGTACGGTCGATGTCCGAAAGTTGGGGTAGGCGTGTCACCGGAAGTGACGTACTTGATAGAAGTTGCGTGGATAAGCTGTTGCCAGCATGCTTTGCTGATATCCAGCGATGTATGTTGGAAGCAGCTTATCCACATAGCTTCTATCAAGTGCACGTCACTTCCGGTGACACGCCTACCCCAACTATCGGGTATCGAGTGTAGGTTTTTTAAGTCTGTGACTGCACACATTAGTGATCGGAGCAATCGCCGAATCACTGGATATCCACGTTGACACGTATACATTTTTCAACCAACCGGCGAATCGTTGGAGTAATCATTTTGTACTCCTACTGACTAGTATAGGGCGCCATTCGTTGCGGGACCCACTGCCTTAACCCGCGGGGATCCCATGCGATCGCGGTTGAATTCGAACATTCCAGCTTCTCACGCATGTCAAGTGACTGCCCTCACCCCCCACCCCCTAGACTGGCGCTACACTGCCCCTGGCTCACGGATTCCCCGCTCCACATTGAAGGGTTCACTGTAGCAGGAGGCAGTGGGACCCGTAACGAATGGCGCCCTATACTAGTCAGTGGGAGCACCGAATGATGGGAGACGGTCATGTGGCGCGGCCACATTGCCATTGGGGCACATAGAAGAACTTAAACGCCAATGCAAACATTTGCGTTCGTTCGGCGGTCGCGTCGCGGCTACGCTGCGGAGCGCGTTGTTCTTGCTTGACTCTTGGGCGAAACACGTTGAGTCATTCAATGCGTTTGGCGGGTAGTGCGCAACATGTGTTGGGTCCTTTTGCATTCATATTACGCAACGGGGCTCTCACGCGGTTTAGAGCGCCTAACGCGTTAAGACCACGACCAATTTTTACCATGAGACGTGGAAGGCTGAGCCTTGTGGTTATAGGAGGAGGCAATGACTAAAGGGTGCATGAGAAGTTCTCTTCCCCCGGAGTTCCTCCCTCTTCAGATCCTTCGAAAATCCTCATCCGGCTCAGAAAGGCTCTTCTCGCCATATTGTGAAGGAAAAAAGCTGCACAGAAGAAAATAAAAGTGGTGTAGGAATGAAGACGCTGAAGCTCGTAGCTTCAGGGAACTCCTTCCGCTAAAATGGCATTAGTGTAGGTGCACCGACTCCTTACTGGATGAGACTCGACAGGAGTACTTCTCATGCCATTTTGGCGCCATTGGAAGTGTACTTTGCAGGTGTTGTAGCGTTTTGGATTCTCTTCTTCGACTAAGTCTGCTTTCCTTAATCCTCGAAAGCACACTATGATTCAGTTCCTAAAAACTTGTAACGAAATGACCCTTCAGCTACACTGCCGTAAATGATTCTTTTTCCATTTGCCTTAGCTTTGGTTTATTTAGTCGCTTACCTGAACACGGCTTTCGCGGTGCATAAGTTATGCTAAGATTTTTTTGAATTTTATTAAGCCGAGCTCATACTCCAAGGTTTGATAGACTGTGAGATTAGTTATCAGACTCACTAACCATAAGATTAAACTACGATTAGAAGGTAGTGATTCGGAGAGTAGGTGATTAGGCGATGAGACTAGTCGTTTCCGTTGAAAACAATCAAGATCTTTTTCGTACAGGATCTTTTTCGAGCATTCTTATCTCCCAATGTTCTGAGCTCATAATATACCAATAGACTCTAACATTTGGTGCGCATTACCAACGAAACGCACTGAGCAACGTGTCGCGTCCATGAGTCAAGCAAGAACAACGCGCTCCGCAGCGCAGCCGCAACGCGACCGCCGAACGAACGCAAATGTTCACATTGGCCGATGTCAGACTTTGCGATTGGAGCGATTGTGCACCAATTGCAGGAGCGACGGGAGATTTACACGGCCGACCACCGATAATTCGGCGCCATCAGCTCGTAAATCTCCCGTCGCTCGCAGCTCCCTGCCACAACGGCCAAGGAGGCACATCACGGCCCGAGCGATGGATCGCTTGAGCGATCCGTCGCTTCAAAGTGCGAGCGACGGGAGATTTACCCGAGCGGCGCCGTGTGTATCGGTGGTCGGCGGTGTAAATCTCCCGTCGCTCCTGCAATTGGTGCACAATCGCTCCAATCGCAAAGTCTCACATCGGCCATTGGCGTTTAAGTTCTTCTTGGGGCACATGGTCTATAGTTGCCACTAAGACGCCGCCTATATCCTGGACAGATAACTCGTCCGGATCACCGAACCATTAGATTATCGTGATTGATCGGTCTAAATGGAGCGCGCCAGAGTAGACTGGACTGCAGAGCCTCCCAAGTTCACCATTCTCGACTCTTCTTCCGGCTTCATTCTTGCGCTGAGTTCGCTCTGCACACTTCAACTATTGGAATGACTGTAGAGTTACTTCGAAGTGATTGTGTCACGATCATTTTGGAGCTGTGATACATTGCACTTCACAGCAACTTGCAGTGCATGATAACAATTCCTATACGAGGTAAGTATTGTTAAGTCTGTTTTGTCAGAGAACAGTTTACTGGAAATTTTTTTTGTCCCGACTACACTAAATGGTTATCAGGATTTATTTCTCATCCCTTTTTGTTATTTTGCCATTGCTTGCTGTCCCATTTCACTAAATAGTTTTCTATTCTTTATTCAAAATCCAATATTTTCTCAAACTCAGCCCTCTTTGATTTTCTTAGTGAGTTACTATGTCCGGCCTCACCTTTCTCGAACTGACATTTCTCAGTAATTATTAGCTAGAGGGGACTATGAAATGTGCGATGTTGCATCCAATGTGCCTATGGGAGCCACAGAAACATAGAGATTGGGACGAGACATGCCGTTGGCAAAGCAGAAGTGATTCACTGGTTTGTCAGAAATTCCAGTGCCCTAACGGGGGAGCACTCAGTGGAATGGGATCGCAAGCGGTGAGAAAACATCCATCGGAAAGCAACATTCATTAATAAATGATAATACGCAATTACTGGGCTTAGGAGAGTCCAATCAGATCAGGAAAACCATATGTTGTGGCCTCGAAAACTTTTGAGGTCTACTCCAGTGGGGGCATGTGGTGCGTTCTTTAACTTTACACCTTGGAAATTCTAACTCTGAAAAGTCGGAAGCACTGTACGTGGCACAACCATTGCATCACATATGCTCTTTTACTGAAGCACCCTCACCTTTCAATTTTTTTCTCTTCGGTAATGCTCGTACCTCTTTTCGGGCTTGATAAAGGGAAAGGTTTTCTAACAAGAAGTCTTTTCTGGTACTTATTGAATTTATTAGCGAAAGAATCCTCACTGAGTGTAGGGTGAATTTCTGGTGGTCAGAATAACACGCCAAAACCATTCCCGCTTTCTTTAGTGTAAAATTAAACATATAACAACATCCTTATTCAGAAAACCATAGAAAATGGAACAGCAATGATGCTGCTCAGTTGATTCCTCTTGGAACACGGTGACTGATTCTCACGCATTCATCAATTAGCAGAAATTTTTTCAAAAAATCAAAAATTTTCATGCTCACTGCAATGGTTTCAAGCACACATACTATCCAGAAAACCAGTGGTAACAAAGCCCTTAAAAGTTTGAATAACCTGTTTTCTAAACAAAAAAGGCTGAACAGTACTTACCCTGTAAAAATTGTTATCATGCACTGCAAGTTGCTGTGAAGTGCAATGTATCACAACTCCAAAATGATCGTGACACAATCACTTCGAAGTAACTTTACAGTCATTCCAATAGTTGAAGTGTGCAGAGCGAATCAGCGCAAGGAAGGAAGAAGAAGAAGGTCAAGAATGGCGAATCTGCAGTCCAGTCTACTCTGGCGCGCTCCATTCTAGACCGATCAACCACGATAATCTATTCGTTCGGTGATCCGGACGAGTTATCTGGCGAGGATATGGGCGGCGCCTGGGTGGCAACTATAGCTCATGCGCCCCAATGGCAATGTGACCGCGCCACTTGACACACACCCCCAAATGATGGCTCCCGAATCTTTCGTAACGTTAGCTATGAATGCTGCCTGAAGGAAACTAACCTGTACGAACGACGGCACATGTTTTCTCAATATATCAGCCAGCAAATGTGGCTGCGAGCGAGTATTATCCGAAACAAGAAGCAAACGGGCACCACTTAAAGAAGTGTTGGGGTAAACCAAACTAAGTAAGACGAGCCACACCGAACTCTGACACACCTGACAAAAGATAAGAACATCTCAACTATGGAGGGATCAAACAGCAAAGATGTAGCACACAACACAGTATCTCCATGTGATATGTTGAATTTCTCCCTTAAATCATCCTTTTAATAAAAAGCTAGAACAATATCCCATAACACAGCATAGTATAAGGAAATTGACAGTAAAAGCAAATTGACTTTTTAAACACTAGCCCGGTTTCGGAATACTTGCAAAATCCTTACTTCACGTATTTAACACGTTGATGACCGCCGTTATGCGCGCACTGCTTCAACATTTTTCGTATTCTCTCATCAATAGGCATTAATCCTTCAGCGTTTTCATTATCAGTAATGAAAAAATTGTTTTTCGGATCCAATAATGTACATGGACCGTTGTGGAACAAAAAACGCCAAAAAATTAAGGAAAAGCTAGTCTACTCCATGTGAAAGTGTGGTATGACATCATTCCACACGGTCGTTAACGTCTTAAAACATTGCAGCTCGCGTGCATCGCCGGATATGCCCATCGTTTTAAGCTCTCCTTGAAAAATTTTTTCATTACTTTTGTGCCCAGGCTGTTACTATTAGTTCCCGGAATCCAATAGACTCAAGGGCTTCAATTTCAAGGAATTTTCGGAAATTTAAAGTTGCCTAACCGGGTGTGGTTCATTAGAACAGAAAGCGATTTTTTCGCGTTTCGCAGCGCGAAACATTGTTCGTTGCAGGAATCTTGGGTCCATTGTTGATTCGCTGTGGGAACCTCAGGCCCACTGACGATTTTAACAACACACTTTAGTGGTAACAGCTACTGCATAAACTTCCTGATGAGATGCCAAGCAAGAAACTAGCATTAAGCAACAAAACGAGGAAAAAGACATTAAGCAACAAAACGAGGAAAAAGAAAGGACCAAAGCAATACCTTGCCAGCGCAGTGAGGGCACTCGTAGCTGACAAGTTAATGTGCGACTTATGGCATTACATGGTTCTGACAGCTAGATGTGGGTCCTGTAGCGAAATTTCGGCACTATTCCACTATTACTGCCCCAAAATCTCAAAATTTTATTTTTCGTCGAAACTTTGCCTATTGGGGTAATTCGATGCCCTGATTACGAATATGACATTCATTTTTGATGCTGGCGCCATTTGGCGCCATTTGGCGCCACGGCTGTTTTCACCAAATCCGCTGAAAACTTGTATATAGGGTTATTTGAGGCCCTGATTACGATCATGAAATTCGTTTTTGGCGCTGGCGCCATGGCTATATAGTGCTAACGCATAAACGTACGGGGGGAGGCTCGCGGCGATAGGATGGCATGGGGGCTCCCCCACCTTCTTTACGATTTGGGGCGCGGCCGCGGCGAGCGCGGACGAGTCGATAGTGCCCGCGAACTGTGGTGGTGATGCGTTTTCAAATTTACCCACACAGTTCGCGGGCACTATCGACTCGGCCGCGCCCGAAATCGTAAAGAAAGTGGAGAAGCCACGTGCGCCGATATCAGTGCGGGCGCGAATTTGTTAATTAGGGCTTTCTGAGCATTTATCACACCACCATCAACTCTTTTGTAGAGCAGCTACCCAGGATTCATTGTGATATTTGACAAATTGCGTGATAGAAACTTTTTTGTAATGTGGTTGACTCGATGTCGTTTAAAATACATGGCAAAATGGCATAGGTTCTTTCGAGAACGATAAGAACGCACAATTTCCAATGTGTTCAAAAAGAAAGGTAGAAAGTGCATACGAAATGATTTGGCTAAAAAGCTCAATGTGTCTTGCGGGGGTGAGCATCGCGGGTGTGGGTACTTAGGACAGAACGCGACTTTTTCGCTCTTCGCAACGCGACATCGCGCGGCAGGCTGGCGCACCCGCAGCGAAAACAACTACGGTATATAAGAACGCGCGATTGGAGCACGATATTTGTGTCGGCTTTGATTGCGACAAGGAGTTTGAAGCTTAATAGCCATGGATTTGATAATGAACTGAAAATGGGTGGCTCCCCCACTTTCTTCACGATTTGGGGCGCGGCCGCGGCGAGCGCGGACGAGTCGATAGTGCCCGCGAACTGTGGTGGTGATGCGTTTTCAAATTTACCCACACAGTTCGCGGGCACTATCGACTCGGCCGCGCTCGCCGCGGCCGCGCCCCAAATCGTGAAGAAAGTGGGGGAGCCCGAGGAAATGGTAACCAGAAGTGGACCGCTAACTAGCAGTGAAGAGGGAGGTAGGTTATTTTTGCAGAGATGGATGGTAGAGCTTCTGGAGAACCTGGAAGAGGAATGGTTGATGGACGTTTGATGAGACGACTGTAAACTTCTGCATAGGGGTTATTTGGGGCCCTGATCATGAATATGACACTCATTTTTCACATTCGTGCTGTTTAACGCATACTTTCTGCTTTCTAAGCTTTCTCACCTACAGCGCCTACGACTAAGCTTAGGGGAGGGGAGTGAAACTCCGGAGTGGGTAAACCACGCACCGTGTGGCAAAAGTTGGAGTGTGTCAGACCACAGGGGAATGGCCTACCCACTTTGGAGCCCTACACTACTCAAAGGCTTAGTCCTATTGCGATCTAATTAGTGCGAGGGCGCAGACGAGCAGGAAGCAGGCGCCGAATAGCGCTAACAACAAATCAGGACCCCGAATAACCCCTATACAGAAGTTTACAGCGAATTTAGTGGGAATCAGTTGTGGCGCCACCCGGCCCCAAATGGCGCCAGCGTCAAAAATGAGTATCATATCCGTGATGAGGACAGAAGCGTTCCGTAAAAGATGTTATACCCTTATGCAGATGTCTATACAACAATATGAACCCACAAAATGCAAGCACAAGCGACACTATTAAACCCTCGTTCACCGATAATTCGTAAAACACCATTTGTGTGGCATCGCCCGGAATCGTGTAAGTCACAAAACGTTTTCAATAATGAGACAGAATTAGTGATTCACCGCATTTATCAATACAATGGGTGTGAGCGCGGGCAAGTAAGGAATCAGAAACTTACAAATTCACGCATGCAAAAAAGCTGCTCCAATCGCGCGTTCTTCATACCGTAGTTGTTTTCGCTGCGGGTGCGCCAGCCTGCCGCGCGATGTCGCGTTGCGAAGAGCGAAAAAGTCGCGTTCTGTCCTAAGTACCCACACCCGGGCATCGCTGCCGCGGCGCACAGCATGATCGTTGTCGTCCGACAGCAACAAACGATCGTTGCTGTCGGACGACAGCAACGACCGCAAGTGTCGCATAAACCGCGGTCGCAAATGGAAGGCGACGCGGTCACCCAATGCAAACCCAGACAACACGTGACTGCGCGTGATCGTATTTCGAAAGTCCCACTGTAGTGTGGAATAGTAGCTGCGTATTGATCGTGCGACACTTAGATGTCGGTCAGACTCTGCGATTGCATCGCGATGAACCAGTGCAGGAGCGACGCGATCGCTCCATCGCTTGTCCACAGTCGCTCGGCGCAAGAGTGGGAGCGACGGGCGATTGGCCCCGCCTCCGCCCACGATCGATGCAGTCGACATCGGTATCGATCGCGGCGGGCCATTGCCCGCCGCTTGCACTTTTGGCAGAGCGATTGCGCAATCGCGATGCAATCGCTTTAGGCAGAGCGATTGGATCGCTCGCGTCGCTCCTTCACTGGTCCATCGCGATGCAATCGCAGGGTCTGACCGACATCTTACGATCGTTGCTGTCGTCCGACAGCAACGATCGTAAGTGTCGCACTTCTGACGATCGATACGCACCTAATGCTGTGCGACACTTGCGATCGTTGCAGTCGGACGACCGACTATGCGTGCGGCCTCTCAGCGAAATAGTGCAAACCGAACATCCCAGCTATTAATACAAGTGACTCGTACCATTCCTGCCCCCTAA